GTTCAAATAAACCTACCAGTTGCTTTGTGATAGAGGATGGCCAATCTCCTCCTGTGCAATTAACTGCCTCTGAAAACTCACCAGAGAGTCAGCTATAGGATGATTCTGACTCAACCATTTACAACAACAACAACATGTATACACATACAATATGTATGCATACACAAACATATATCTTAACCTTTATCAAATCCAAAGCAGTCCAAATTCCAAAGCAGATATTTTCAAAGAAGAGGCAAGTCACTCTACTAGGCAAAGTACTTGGGACTTTTTGGGAGTGAAATAAGGAAGTAGAATTGAAATTCAAATAATTTGTTTTCTCTTAATTTTTAAAAGCAGGTGCATCAGGCTGTCCTCAATGGTCTAGACTTGCAACAAGGCCACCACTGCTTCCTAACACCTGAGGCACCATCTATAGCCACCCTTTAAGTGGTCCTTTTATTAAATATCTTTAAGTGCCTTAAGGTCCTTTCTTTAAGTGATTTTAGGAATATAGGAGAATAAAGTGAGTTAGAACCTCATTCTTCTTCTTCCCCCAATCCCAGTTCCCTATTTGTTTAATAATCAATGTGTCCTAAACTGTATGGGCATTATGAGGCACGATTCCCTGTGCTTGCTTCCCATTAGATTCTCTTGCTGTCTGAGAGAATTGGGAAACTCTAAGAACCATTTTGCTTTCCATGGTGCTGTATTAATGTTACCTGAGGACTTGGCTGTGGTGAAGTGAGGCTGGATGGAGGGGAAGCCTGGTGAAGGGATCCTTCATTGATGGACTGAAGCATGGGAGGGATTTGCTGAACAGAAGGACTGATGTGAAGCTCTACTGACCCAGCTGTGTTGAAGGCTGTTTCTGCATCAGAAGGCAGTCTCAGATCTCCAAGTCTCAAGGGTGATGGGGAGGAGGACGAGGCCTTGAGACTTCCAGGAGGACTCTTGGAAAGATGACACGCTGATCTTGCAGGCTCCTTCCAGCTTCCCCAGCTGTCCTGCTGAGATGTTGAGTTCAAGGTCCCACATCCACTTCCTCTTAATCTCCTCAAAGTGGGAGAAGTGGAAATTCGGCCCAGAGCTTGTCTGTCAAAATGGAGAAGATTCCCCTGGTTCTCAGTGTGCCTCTGAGGAGATGTCCGACTGCCTCTGGACCACAGCGTTGGGTCAGAAGGCTCTATGTTACCTGTGGAGTCTGGGAGGTCCTCTGTTGGTAGCTTCTCAGAAACATTGTCCATGTTGTTGCTTTCTGATGCACAAACAAGTCGTTCAGTTTCCATATTCAAATAGTACTCTTCCTCAAGTATTTCTTTGCCCTTTTCAAGAAGATAATTTTTAGCAGCTTGTTGCATTTCTTCCAAAGAAGAGTAGAGAGTGGAATCTGTGGCAAATGAGGGAGATGGAGGTGAGAAAAAAGACATTGAAAATTTCAAATTAAAATTAGTATGAAAAAGGTAGAAGCCAATTAGTATTATCATCTTTAATACTCTGGAGATATTTAACATAGATGAGTGTCCCCTTCCCATCTAAATAGTTTATATGTCTACTGTCTTATTATCTCCTCTAGATTTAAGCAAAATAGTCTTCAAAAACATTAATGATATAAGAGGTATCTTGAAAGTCACATAATCATACGTTAATGATAAACATAAGAGGTATCTTGAAAGTCACATAATCATACCTTATAATCTTTTAATTATTCCATTTTAAGAGACTCAAATAGGCATCAAACATTTTTATACTCTGCATTAATTCATCCATGTATTTTAATATTTCAAAGTGTTGTTTCAAGAATTCATGAATAAGAAAGACAAGGCCTTTCAGCTAAGCCCAAGTTAGTCACGGGGTCCTGACTTAATAGTTGTTGTCATCATTGTAATGTGCCTTCAAGTTGACTGGGACTCATAGGCAACCCTATGTACAATATCTCTCAACTCTGTCCTATCCTGAACCAATCTCACTTCCTCCCACACATCAGCCCTTGTTATCCTCAGTCACTGTGTCAACCCATCTCATCCAGGGTCTTTCTCTCCTGCTTTGTCCTTCCATCCTTCCAAGCATGATGTCTTTTTCAAAGGATTGGTCCCTCCTGGCAACATGCCCAAAGTATGTGAGAAGGAGCTTCAAAATTCTTGTCTCCAGAGAGCAAATTGTTTTTGCCTTCTCCAGAACAGATCTGTTTGTTTTATTGGTGGTCCAAGATATCTTCAATACACTTCTCCTGCATCATAACAAAAAGTCATCAATTCTTTTGTTATCCTAAACTACTGTCCAGCTGTCTGATGCATAGCAAAGACCATACCCTGGATCAGTGCACCTTAGTTTCTATACTAACATCTTTGCACTTGACCATTCTGGAGAGGTTCCTGACAGCAGTCTTTCCAAATATAATTTGCCTTTTTATTTTCTGGCTGCTGATTCCAAGAATGTTGGTTGTAGACCCAAGCAAGTTGAGACTGTTTACAATCTCAATCTTTTGTCCATTTATCATGATGCTGCCAATTGGTCCATTGGCAAACATCTTTGTCTTCTTGATGTTGAGCTTCAATCCATATTGAAGACTACAATTCTTGACTTTCTGCAGAAGATGTTTCATGTCCTCCTCAGTTTCAGTGAAGAACGTTGTGTCATCTGAATAACAAGCTGTTGATGAATCTTCTTTCAATTCTGACTTTAATGGTTGTTGTTAAGCACTGTTAAGTCAACTCCAACTCATAACAACCCTATGTACAACGGGTCCCCTGCTCTATCCTGAGCCAATTTCATTGCCTCTGACACACATACCCCCATTACCCTTATCACTGAATCAATCCATCTCATCCAGAGTCTTCTTCTCTTGTGCTGTCCTTCCACCTCATCCAAGTATGATGTCTTCAAGGATTGGTCCCCTCTGGCAACATGACCAAAGTATGTCAGACAGAGCTTCAAAATCCTTGCTTTCAAGGAGTAATCCGTGTTCAGCCTTTCCAGATGAACCTGTTTTTTCTCTTAGCAGTCCATTGTATATTCAATACTCTTCTCCAGCACCACCACTCTAAGGCATCGATTCTTCTTCTATCATCCTTAGTCATTGTCCAGTTCCCTGATGCTTTTTGTGTGAAATATTTGAGAATAGATGTTTTTGCATTATAAATCCCTGTATTTTGGGAAAATAACATGAAAATTTGAAAAGAAACACCTAGATGTCCTGCTTCTCATAGGTAAATATATTATCTAGCATTGTTGTTGTGTATTGTCGAGTCAGAATTGACTCATAGCTGACATTCCAGTGGGTTTTCAGAGGCAGTGAATCTCATGGAAGAAGACTGTCCATCTTTCTCCCTCTGAGTGTCTGTTGGAGTCAAACCTCTTGCCTTTGGGATTGCACAAATCCTTATGGTAGCACACCCTCATCAATTTCTCTCATGGAGCAGTTGGTAGATTCAAACCATCAACCATTCATTACGGGCTTTAACCCCTGTACTACCAGCATTTCTTCATACTCTAAAGCAAAGATAATTTTGCCATCTGACATATGAAGACAGCAGTGGTATGTGGCAAGGCTTCATTTCTTTCCTACCCATCAATTATTTCACAAGAGTCAACGCTTGTCTATTTACTGGCCTGGTGTGGAACAGATAATGGGAACCATCTTCCCTGGCATGGGAAATGTGGACAGTGGTTTCAAGTTGGGCATGGATTGTTTGTGGATGGAACAGCAGTACTTGACCACATAGTCTGAACTGTCCAAGAAAATCTTAGCCAGTGTATAATTCTAAAGCAAAACTAAGCAAGCTGAAACCCTTGAGGAATGAATACATGTAGATAGTTAAATGTTAAGGATTACTAACAACTTGTATTTCTAGCATTATATAGTTTCAATTGCATTTATAATCCTTTTTGCAAACTTATTCTGAAGTCTGTTATACACTTCCTTGACTTTAAAACAGAGAATACTCAACACCAAGGATAATATTCCTGCTCTCGTCTCAAATTCTGGCCTCAGTATGTGGACTATCTCATTAGTAATTGCTGAGAGAGCCATCAAGTCATTCTGGCTCACTGAGTAGATGGGCTACTTTTGGACTCGCAGCCAAGTGCTTAAACATTGCTCCACCAAGGCTCATGATCACTGGAGAACTGTGTGGCAACACGATGACTGCTGTTGTTTTGTTATGTGCCATCGAGTCAGAATCAACCTACAACTGACTCTCTAGAGGGTTTTCAGAGGCAGTTAATCACCCTGGAGGAGATTGCCCATCCTGCTCCCATGGAGTAGCTGGTGGATTTGAACCACTTGCTTTGGGGATTGTAGCACAGTTTCTTACTACTAGACCACTAGAGATTATTACTATGCTTATTATATGGAGAGTACGATTGTTATAGGTTCTTAAAGCATCTGATTGTTCAGTCCCACATTAAACCCTGCTATACTGACTCATTCCCTAATGTACACTCTTCTCTCTTCATTAGAACTTGTGTACATGCCTATAACAGCCACTTTCCTTTTAATTTGATTCTTCTAATCTTTTTCAAGCATAAAATTTCAACATTTTAATTTAGAAGGAATTAGCAAACATATCTTGGAAAGGGTCCAGCCTGAGTCCTCTTTGGAGACAAAGATGATGAGGCTTTGCCTTATATACTTCAGGCATGTGCTAGATTGAGCTGTTCCTTGGAGAGGAAAATGATGCTTGTGAAGGTGCAGGGTTAGCAAAGGAGAGGAAAACCCTCAACCAGGTGGATTGACAAGGTGACTGCCACAATGTGCTGTAGTGTGCCTGGAAGTGTGAGGATGGCATCTGATAGGAAGGAGTTCAGGTCCACTGTTCACAGGGTCGCTATGGGTCAAACTTGACTCGATGGAATCTAACAGCAACAACAACTCCGTAGATTTGCTCTTATCAATCAAGAGGAGGAGACCAAGGTGACGATATTGTCATAACAATTTGATGACATGGATTTCGGGAACTCCAAAGTCATTGGATAAGAGCTCTGGTGACCTAGTGGCAAGAAGCTGTGCTGCAATCCTAACGGATGCATTTCAAAGCCACCAGCTGCTCCACGGGAGAAGGATGCACAGTTTCCTTCTTTGCGATTTACTGCCTCTGAAGACCTCCCAGAGGATGAGCTATGGGGTCGGTTTTGACTCTATAGTACATAATGACAAAGTCATTATATTTACTCCCTGGCTCTCACCTGATTTAAGGATAAATGAAATTAACAGTAGAGCATTTTACACCAGAGAGTTAATCTAGATAACAACTAAAATGGATTCAATTTATGGTAAAGTTGTTAACATTGGGTTTGCTTTAATATTTTGAGCTGAGTTCTCAGTGTTATAGAACTGTATACGCAGAAATAAAGTGCATTAAGTCCATTTTTGAAGAGGATGTACCAGATAAAGAGCACTCTGGTAGCCTAGTAGATAAGCCTTGAGCTATCAACTCAAAGGCAGTAGTTAGAATCCATCAGTTGTTCTGCAGGAGAACTCGGGACAATCTCATCTCCTCCCATGTGATTTCTAGCCTCTAATAACCTGCTCATCCAGTCTTCGCTCATTAGTGTTCAAGGCCTCAAACCTGTTCCTGAGATGGTTTTGAAATTTAGGTGAGATAGACTCAAGGTCATATTTTGGTTCATGTGGACTTGATTTAATTTTCCTTAGCTTCAGCTTGACCTTACATATAAGTAGTTAGTCATCTGTTCCACAATCAGCTCCTGGCCTAGCTTTCACAGCTGATATTGACCTTCTCCAGCGGTTCTTTCTTCAGATGCAATCAATTTAATTCCTATATATATATATACCATAAGGTGAAATCCATGTGTATAGCCTGTATTTACATTTCTTATAAAATGTATTTGCAATGAGTAAATTGTTGATTGTGCAGAATTCTATCATTCTATCTCCAGCTTTATTTCTGTCACCAAGTCCTTGTTTTACAACTTACTGATTCTTCTTCTCTGTTGTCAATTTTTGCATCCCAGTCACGTATCTTGATTGCATGTTCATTTGATCTTTGACTGCAAAAGTTGGTAGAAATCTTCTATTTCCTCTTCTTTGGCTCTTGTTGTTGTGTATATTTTAATGTTAGTGATATTCACTGGACTTCCTTGTATGCGTATGAATATTACTCTGTCACTTACAATATTGAATTTCAAGACAGATCTAGATTTTTTAACTATGAAAGCAACCCCATTTTTCCTCACCATTTTATCTCCAGCATAGTAGATCATATGATCATCTGACTCAAAATGCCCCATGCCAATCCATCTCATCTCACCAATACCTAGTATGTCAATATTTATGCATTCCATTTCTTCCTTAACAATATCCAGTTTTCCTAAATTCATAATTCTTACATGCCAGTCA